CCGAGGGGAGGAGGGGAGCAGCTTCCTGGCCGAAGTTGCGGCTCTCCCTCCGCTGGCGAGAAAGCGCTGGGGGATCGGAGTGGTTTCCAATGGCTTCACCTAGCGGCGGTGCGTTCGGCCTCTCTGCCTCCTCCCCAACCTCTTTCCAAGACCTCCCAATTCTCCCGTCGCGCTCGCCCGGGGCTACCGGGCTTGAAGCGAATCAGTAGGCTTGCAAGTCCCTTGATTCAGCCAAGTTCTTCAGCACGCCTTGCTCTGTGAACTGAAGTAGCCAGGGGCGTCAGGGGACAGGGCGAGGGCTGGAGGGACCCCCTGAAGCGCTAGCCACAGCCGACCGAAGAGATGTGGCATCGCAGACGCCCCGGATTGTTAGGGTGGGACCCGGGGCGGGGGGGCAGTTAGGAGGTGCCCCAGGCCAAGTCTAAGGAGTGTCGATGACCATCCGGTGGGGAGAAGGGGAAGCTGAGAGATGCTCTTAGCAGATGCACCCATCCTTCCTCCTGAAGGAAGTGAGGGGGTGGGTGGGCTTTAAGGCCCTGGTTTTCACCGGCCCCCCAGACCCGGCCGCGTCCCTGGCGGCCTTGTGAGACTGGCTTCCAGTCCAGAGCTGGCCAGGCTCCCGCAGAAATCGCCGGCTGCAGAGTTGAAGATCCCGTCCCTGGAGCGTGTGAAGTGCGCGCCATTGGGGTTCCGGAGGGGGAGGGAGGAAAGCAAAAGGAGAGGGGGGAGAGCCTGGGGAAACGTTGCAAGAGAAATAACAGAGTCCCCTCCCCCTTCTGCCCCAACCGACCCGCCGATGCCCTAGGATTTCAGTGCCTTTGGGAGACTCCCTGCTCCTGTACACCTGCGTCCAAAACTACGCAAAGCCAACTCCTCGCCCTCTTGCTGCTTTGCCAGGAATTTCTAATGCATTGCTCTGGTGGTTCTTGGCTCATTGCTTCTCGGTTTCTTAAACAGCATTTTTTTTTTTTTTTAGCTGTCCAAGGTACTCTAAACTAGTGTTCTCCTGAAACTATGATGAAACCCTGCTCTTATGGAAAAACTACTTTATCTTCAAATGAAATATTCTTTTCTGCCCATTCCTTCTTTCTACTGCCCTCTTAGCAATCCCTATTCTCAAACAACACCCTCCCCCTACACACACACACACACACACACACACACACACACACCCCTTTCCTAGAGCCTAGGTGTTTTGAATCCAGGATGATATATTGCAGCGAGTATATACTGGTTAAACTGCATAGCACATCTCCCAGGAGTCAGAGAGAAGCAACAACTTGCCTTATTTTTATGCCCTTTAAGTTTAGGAAGGTCCCATTTCTTTTTATGACCCAGCAGATAAGACAGAGCTCAGGATGGCTGTGGCTTCCATTTGATAACTTCTGATGTTTTCATTTCCCTTACTGAGCTGCTGCCTCTAGGTTAAATCCGTTTGATTTGCCTGTCCATTTTTAAAGAAAGACTGAACAAAGTCGCTCTAGCAGACCAGGGGGTTGAGCTCAGAGTAGGTCAAAGGTGGTCACACCTGGGAGGCGGATAAAAATAGGATTGGCAATTACGGTTAGAACACCTGTGTTACTAGTAATAGTGGGTCCTAATAAAGACCAGATTCTTCTCATTGTCCCTGATGGGAAGATTCTGAGGCTTTTACAGCATCAAACTCAAACCACATCAAAACCAGGTGATGTCCCCTGGTCATCACATAAAAGGAAGTGTCAGTTCATAGAAGGACTGGATGTCAAATCCTGGGCAGTGTTGAATGGTTGAGTGGGAAAAGCTTGCCTATAATGGAACCAAGGGTCTAGTCCTGTGTTACCATGTGAATGCTCTCGCCGTCCCAGACCTACGGCTCTCCTTTGAGTGGTCAGCCTCCTTTTTATTCTTCCAGAAGTAGGCCCATCCTGCTTTAGTGGGAGCAGGCGCAGATGGGGTCCGTTGTACTTCCCAGCATGGGACAACCACTTTATTAGAGCTTCTAAATATTCCTTTTAAAATAATTGCCCTGAGGTTTCTGAGTTGTTTTTTATTTGTGCCTCTAAGACTTCTGTTTATCTCCAGCTATCTGGTGGCAACATAGCATTTTGTTTGACTCATCAGTTTGTCTTAAGGGGAGCTTGCTTTTAGAAGTTTTAATTAAAGAGTGTCTTGCATTCAAGTGTTTCTTGATCTGCGTGTGGAGTTTTAATTTAAAAAGACCTCATTTCAGTTAATGGGAAGCAAAGATGTTATCTGTTTCCAGAGCTGTTTTATGTAGTCTTCCAACGAACAGCAGCTTTGCTTGTTCCCATCTTCAGGCTGAGCCCGCCATCATGATTGGACACTTCAAAGTTATACCGACCCTAAGAAATAATTATGGATTAAAAAAATGGGTTAATGGCGGAATCTCTATTTTCATCTGCATTTGAATCTTTTGGAACATAACTGAATGTATTTATATGGTTTGCGCTGTGCCTTTCTCTGTCTTCATTTTATAAGCTCCCTGATTTGTAAGACGCTGGACCATTATGGCCACCTTTAGTGACATAAAGAACTTTCCATTCGGAGGTAAACATATTGGAGGTGAGCGGCTCATGTGTGTAATCAGTGTCGCACACTGTCACAGGGCTCTGAGAGGTGAGAGGGCTACTCTGATGGTGTCAACTTGGCTGATTGGGAGAAAGTCTCTTCTTGAGTTGGGAAGGCCACTTCTTGAATCTTTGTACTTTTTAATCAGAGACATAGCCTGCAGGTCGGTATGCATTTTGGAGGGAAAAAAAGCTAAATTTGTTCTCTGTATTTGATCTTTCCATTTTTGTCTTGTTAATATATTTTTTAAACCACAAAGCCCCTTTGGATCCATATATAACCCTAAGTCGTATTTCCTTGGCAACCGTAGTCAGTATATTAAGTCACAAAATATCAAGACAGAAGATTCAAAATGCATTTAAAAATGTCACATGGTTGAAGACCATCCTATAGTGCATTAGAACTGACCTCGCGGCATACAATAATAGAGTTGCATTTGACTCTGACTTTCTCCTGATTGAATGTAGATGGTAAAGAACAGATTACAAGAACTTCATGCTTTTTAGGATTGTCCTAAAAATTCTACAATGGTTTTTCTTTTGAGGCAAGCTTATTATGAAAATTAAGGGGTTAGAGTACAAATGCATTTTTTTGGGTAAGGTGTTTACGTGAAGGTTGGTGGTAGGTCTAAAATCAAGCTCAATAACTGGGTCAGGCAGGATGTACTGTCTCTTCTATGTTACTTGAAACAGACACTATATAGTAAGGCCTCCATTAGCATTGAATTCAACCAGTGGGTATCTAATAAAACTTGTGACTGCACAATACTTTGTCTTTTCTCTGCTAGAAACCTCATATATGTGGAGCTTTCTGTTTAGTCCATGAACTACTAAATATATATGATTCATAGTATGTTTTCCTTAAGTTGGCAAATCCCAGGGAATCCATTATTTGGCTGCTGTCTTCTCGGAAAAGCGGCTTGTGAACCATAGCTCTTAGCTCAGTAAATACTGAAGACCTGAAGGCAAGTCTTGAGCTGAAAGTGACCGGGATGACCAATTTGGGAAGGCTTATTCCAGTCCTATGACTTTAGTACACTCAGAGAGGTAGGGGGCGACCACCTCACTGGCCTGTGGTACATCTCTATGCTGTGAGCAACAACTTCATCACTTCGAATCTATGACTCTCCGAACGGGAAGAGAATGTGGGGATAACCTATGGACTCGAGCTGTTTAATTTGACAGATGTGGAAACTGAACCTTAGAGAGATGACTTGCTCAAGATCAGGGGACTCATTCAACAGCCTTGATTACTCCTCTCATAGAGAGACTCAAGTTCCCTGGAGATAATTACTGTGGTGGCGCCAATCTCTGGCGCCACATGTACTGATAATCTTTACTGAGTTGGGGATGGTTTGGCGGGTGGGGGGAGCGGGGGGGAATCCCACATCCATTGGAGGGTTTGGAGGAGTAGGCTTGGGACTTATTACATTGCTGTCTCTAGGAGCCAGTGCAATACTTACCCAATAGAGATGATTAAATTTATACAGTCATTGTCTGCAGCCATGCCTGTTAATGTGCATGTTTTGTGAAGAATTGCTCATGCGGTCTTAGCTTCCTATTTTAAATGTCACCACCGAGTCAATAATGTAAACAGATGTTATGGGTGTTTACAGTTCCAGGAACCCACAGGGGAATCCCTTACTCTGTTTTAAATGAAAGGTGCATGCAAAAAGAACAAACTTTCTAAAATGTTGCTTTTCTATCTCTGGTGCAGAACACAAGGTTT